CCGACCACCCAGCGCGCCTCCGACTGGCGCGGCGGGCGCGGGCCGCCAGGCCCTTCGGGCCCCCGCCGGGGCTGGACATCCCAGGCCCCGGGCGCCGCTGAGCGACAGGCCCGAAGAGGGCTGTTCGCGGCGGGCGCCGCTTTGTCTGCGGCGCTCGCGACTGGCGGCGCGTCGGGTGCGACGCGTCACCGTGCGTTCGTACCTGCTGGTGCTGACCATGCGCTCGGGCTCGCCACGGCTGCGGGCGCTGCCAGGCTGGGTCCTCGCGCAGGCGGACGAGACGCTGGTGGATTACTCCGAGTGGGCCTTCGACCGCGGCATGGGTCAGGAGGCGTCCTCTCGCACTCACTGTGCCTTGGCTGGGGGCGAGCCCGCGCTGGGAAGGCCCGTTCGGCGCCTCTTTCCCCCGGCGGACGCGTCGCTGTCAGGCGGGGCGCAGCGCCCGTCGGGCCACTCCCGCCAGCCGCTGCCGCGGGCGCCTGCGCGCGCGATGGCGGCCGTGCTGGCCTCGCGGGGGAAGCCAGACTCGGGGCGTTGCGTCGTGGTGACGTGCGACCTGAGCCCGTCGGAGACCGCGACCTTGCTGGCCATGCAGTTTCTGCCAGGCAGGTGCAGAGTGGTCGGAGGGTGGCAGCAACCCCTCCTGCTCCTGCACCCAGACGGACGTACTACCAGCTCCAGGACGGGCGAATTCGACTCCACAGTGGGGCTCGACCTTCATCGACGTCACTGGATTGGGCGTGCTGTCGTGCGGCTGCAGCTGCTTCGTCTCGGGGAGGAGCTGCTGTTCGTGAGCTCGCACCTGCAGCGCCTGGCCGACTTCCATGTTGCTTGTCAGCACCTCAAGCTCGAAGGTTTGGACTGCTCGCCGCACTTCCTGGGGCACGGCGACGCGACATACGTCTGCGTTGCAGGGTGCCGCGCGCCGCTGGAGGTGCGGAGGCGAGAAACGTGGAGGATGACGTCGCCAGTTCAGAGGTACGACAAGGCCTGTCGGCGGGCGGTGGTCAGGCAGGCCCTCAGCAGCGCCCAGAGGAGGAGCTGCGAGATCTGGGCGGTAGCCGCCCCGCGGCTCTTCGGCATCGCCTACGTGCTGCCCTCCGCGCCGGCCGCCTTGGCGAGCGGCGGGCGTTCCTGGATCTCTTCTCAGGCTCGGGTGGCCTCGCCGCCGAGCTAAAGAAAAGGGGGCACGCTGTGGTTTCAATTGACGTTCTCCTGGGCCCAGAGTGCGACTTGCTGCAAGATGATGTCTTCCGCGCCCTTCGAGGCTGCTTGAGTCTGGTATCATCTGGGGCATGTTTTCAGGCAGCCCTTGTGAAAAATGGTCACAGGCTCGCAGGGCTCCGCCTCACAGTGTGACGCCTCGTCGCTTGCGGGCGAAGGAGCACTTGCGTGGCCTGCCAGGCCTAGAGGGCGCCGACTATCACGATGTCGTTACCTCGAACAAGCTGGCGGACAGAGTCGCACTCTTGCTAGGCATCGCCCTGAGACGCCAGCTGCCAACTGGAGAGGAAAATCCCGCATCTAGTCTGCTGTGGCTGCTCCCCAGCCGCCAGCGTTTTCACTCTCATGCCAATGTCCCGACTGTTGTCTTTGACTATTGCGGTGCTGGCCGTCCTTTTCGTGCGCGCACTCGCATGGCTCTTGCCAATATATCTGTTCCGCCAGAGCTATACACATGCCACTGTAAAGGTAGGGGTGTTTGCACGTTTTCGGGCAAGCCGCACCTGGTTCTGTCTGGTAAGTCCAAGGCCGGCTTCCTTACTCATCTTAAAGCGTCCTACCCCCCGCGCCTGTGCTCCGTGCTCGCTCGAGAACTTTCTCACAGCTCTTTGTCTCTGCGGGCTAGCCGCCTGTGGAATTTGATGCGGTAATCCAATACATTGCTTGAAGACGGGGTGTATTTATGAGGATGGGTTGTGTGGGACAAACTGCCCACGTGACATGTTGTCTTCGCCTCAGCATTTCTCTGGAAAATAAGAATGAACATAGGACTGCACGGTATTGTTCATTGCATGCGTCCGCTTCACTCGCTCTGTAGCCATCGTTTCTGCCCTCGCCAGCCCAAAGCCTATTTAAGTGTTGCGTTCTCTGCGGGTTGTGTGGGACAAACTGCCCACATGACATGTTGTCTTCGCCTCAGCATTTCTCTGGAACATAAAAATGAACAGTCTTGAGCCGTCGGAATGCCGAGAAGAAGCAAATCCCCAAATCCTTCAAAAACGATTGAACATCTATGAGTTTGGCCTCTTCGGGCCCTCCTGGAGGACCTCTTGGAAGCCTCTTGGGCCGTCCTGGAGGCCTCTGGGGAGCCTCTTGGGCCGTTTTGGGCCGTCTTGGACTCTCTTGGGCCGTCTTGGAGGCTGTCTTGGACCATCTTGGGCGGACTTCGAGGCCATCTTGGCCATCTTGGACGCCATCTGGAGCCTTCTTGGAGTATTTTTTCTGGACTTTGCGCTCCTGGAAGAGCCTCCCGGGACCCCGGCGGGACGGGTCGAAGCGCCAGGGAGAGTTCTTTTGGAAAAGAACCAAAACCAAAACCGAAAGGTCCAGCACGCCAGGCACCCCTGCTATGAATCGACAGGGGGCGGCGGATCGAAGACGCCTACGGCGAACCACCGCCGCCCCCTGCCTTTTTGGAAGCGCCTATGTGGCCGAACGTTGAGGCCAGACCTGCCAAGCCATCGGACCATGTGTTCCCCGAATCGTTTTGGAAAGCCTTCGGGGAACACGTGGGCATCTTGAAGTTCATCTTGGCCGTCTTGGAGGCCTCTTGGGCGATCTTTCGGCGATCTTTGGGGGCTCTTGGGCCGTCTCGGGCCGTCGGAAGGCCGAAAAGAAGGAAATGTCACAATCCGTCAAAAACCTTTGGAAAATGAATGTTTTTGGCCTCTTCTGACCTTCCTGGAGGCCCTCTTGGGGGCCTCTTGGGCCGTCTTGGGCCAGCTTCGAGCCCACTTCGGCCATCTTCGTGGGTTCCTGGCACGTCTGACGCCGTCGGGAGCCGTTTTGGGTGCCTTTCTGGGCCAACGGGGGACCCTCTTGGCGCTTCGGGGCCGTTTTGGAGGCCATCTTGGGCGTCTTGGAGGCCATCTTGGGCGTGTTGGAGGCCTCTTGGGCCGTCTTGGGGCCCTCTTAGGGGCCGTCTTGGAGGCCACTTGGGCCGTCATGGGGCCCTCTTGGGGGCCTCTTGGGCGATCTTGGGGGCCTCTTGGGCCGTCTTGAGCCGTCGGAATACCGAGAAGAAGCAAATTCCAAAATCTTTCAAACACCTATGGAAAATCAATGAGTTTGGCCTCGTCGGGCCCTCCTGGAGGACCTCTTGGAGGCCTCTTGGGCCGTCTTGGAGGCCTCTGGGGGGCCTCTTCGGCCGTCTTGGGCCGTCTTGGACTCTCTTGGGCCGTCTTGGAGGCGACTGTGACTATGTGGTCGCCAGCTATAGCAAGGGTCGGGAGGCCACAGTAGGTAGCATGTGCATGTGTGCCGACCTCTGGAAGCGGGTCTGGGAGCGGGTGGACGACCTTGGGGGGGGGGGCGTGGAAGTTGTCAAGGTGAGAGGTCACGCGCGTGTGCGCAACGATGACAGACGGGATGACGCGAGGTATCACCGGCTTGGCAGGCACCCCAGTTTGCGAAGCTCGGCGCGTCTAGGCACCCCCAGGATCAGGTGGCTAGTGATCGGGTCCTGCGGGCCGCCATCCTGTCCACACGCGTGTGGAGGTACCTTGCACGCACGCTGCGCGCTGTAGGCCATCCTGCCAGCACGGTGTCGGCCCGAGATCAGAGGCCCTCGGCCGCCGAAGGCCGCCTCCGAGACTCACGGCCGACGAGGAGGCCCCCGTGGGATAGCACGCCACGGTGCTTGTCTCGGGCAAGCTGCTCTGCGTGAGGTGCCTCCGCGTGGCCAAGACGGCCAACAGGCCGCGGCAGGCCCCGTGTCGGCCTGCGGCAGGCCACCGCCCCGTGGAGCGTGGGGCCCTTCGCCTTTTTGCGGCCCTTGCGGGGCCCACTCGTGCGGTACTGCGCAGCTGCTCGCGGCCGACTGCCGCGGCCAGTGCCCACGTAGCTCGACGCCGCGAAGACGCGTCGACTGCCCATGGGGCGGACGCCACCCAGGAACTGGGGCGACGCTTCCTGTCGGCTCGGGGCCCACCGCCCCGACTCCGTTTGGAGCCTTCGCCCTGGACATCAGAGTCCTGGGGGCCTCTCGGGGCCTTCTGGGGTGGGGGCCTGCTGGCGGTCTCGGGGGCTCCCTTGGGGCGGACGGCTCGAAATCTCAATTCGAATTCCAACCCCTAGGGGGGGGGCCTCCGAGGGCTCTCTTGGGCCGTCTTGTGCGGTTCTTGGGCCGTCTTAGGGTCCTCTTGTCTTGGAGCGTCTCGGGGCCCTCTTGGGGGCCTCTTGGGCCGTCTTGGGGTAATCTGGGGGGCCTGTTTGGCTTGTCTTGGACGCTGGGAAGGCCGTCGAGTCGCATATGATAAACATGCTTTTTCCTGATTGGAATGGGCAGCTTTGTTCCTCTTGAAGCTCTGTTGGGAGGGCTCTTGGAGGCCTCTTGGGGTGTATTGGAGGCCTCTTGGGCCGTCTGGAGGCCATCTGGAGCGTCTTGGACCGATCTCTCGGCGACTCGGGGTCCTCGTGGACTATCTCGAATGCCTCTTGGAGACCCCATTGCCCGTCTTGGGGTCCTGGAGCACTCGGGCCCTCCGTGGCGCTCCAGACTCAGCCCACCCTCTGGGCCCGAAATGGACTCAGATCCGGTCTCTAAGGAATTAAGTTTTCATGACAAACAACATGTCTATGTCGGGGCCTACCTCAGGAAATCATGGAGCATTTGGGGGGTCGCCAGTCCATCTTGTGCTGGTCTTCAGGGATGTTGCCGATACTTTGCGGCAGTCTCGGGCCATCTTGAAACCTTCGAGAGGCCGAATAGGGCGCCAGGAAGCAAACCAGGGGGCATGTTGTACAACCGTGCGCGACGAAGAGGGACGCGGCCCCAGGACATCAACCAGCTCTCTAATACTCCACTACCGCGTAGGCGCAATGGCGGATCTTACTCCTGGCTGGTCGCATTGAAATACTGCATCATCATCTTCTCCGCGGTGCCGCAGCTGTCGTCCAGCTCGGCGGATCAGCTGTTCGAGTATGTGTTTTTCTCTCCGGTAATTTATTGCATCCTCTGCTATAAGGCGCTGCAGAAGCTCAGGACTGGGGGGGGGGGCCAGGACCGTGCTGGGGGCCCGCCTCCTCTGGGTCAGGCTTTGGCTGACCGCCGGGAGGAGGAGACCCTCGACGCCATGCTCTTCCAGGACATGATCTGGCACGTGGTGATCGATATGATCGACATCCAGATAATGATGAGGCTCACGACCACCGGCACTCTGGAGAGTTCTTCCTCTGGCGCCGAGCGGGGCCTCGACTCGGAGATGGCGATCATCGCCGAGAGGTATCCAGAGAGGGCCGAGATGATCAAGACGGTGGCGGGGGTGTTCGTCTTCTTGGGGCTTTTTTTTCACCAGCAGTCCTTCCCAAGCGTGGCGTACTCCAGCAGCTCCGCTGGCGCTGACCACTGGCGCAAGCGCCAGCCCGCCAGCGCGACGCCCGCGCGGACCACGCAACACTCTGGGTCTTCCTCGCTCGGGAGGCTCACTTCGGTGATCTTGAGGCCCACGATGATCATGAAGCAGTTGGGAGGGAGGACCAGGGCTGGACCTAAACGCTGTTTTTGCTGGATTTCGGCTGTGTTTTGTTATTGTAATGGCCTCCAGCCAGTGCCGCCGATCCGGGGCGCTCCCGATGCGTGTGGGAACGGACGATGACGACGGCGACGACCGACGACCGGGTCAACGACGGACGATGATGACGACGACGTCCCTCCTCCCCCCGCTGCCCTCCCCGGTTTCTTGGACCACACCTCTCCCCCGCTTGAGCTCGACCCCCCCTCCGTCCCCGGTCGAGCTTCCTCCTTGGACCCCCCCCCCGCTTGAGCTCGACCCCCCCCCGTCCTCGCTCGCGCTCCCCCCCCCCCCCTCGATTCTTGGACACCCCCCTCCCCGCGCCGACCCCCCCCCCGCTTGAGCTCGACCCCCCCCCTCCGTTCGACCCCCCCCCCGTCCTCGCTCGAGCTCCCCCCCCCCTCTCGATTCTTGGACCCCCCCCCGCGCTGACCCCCCCCCCCGCTTGAGCTCGATCCCCCCCTCCGTCCCCGCTCGAGCTTCCTCCTTGGACCCCCCCCCCCGCTTGAGCTCGACCCCCTCCGTCCCCCCCCCCCCATCCCTCGATTCTTGGACCCCCCCCCCCGCGCTGACCCCCCCCCCCCGCTTGAGCTCGACCCCCCCCCTCCGTTCGACCCCCCCCCTCGTCCTCGCTCGAGCTCCCCCCCCCCCTCGATTCTTGGACCCCCCCCCCGCGCTGGAGCGTACACTGAATTGCGTGGATAATTCGCCGGATCCCGACCCCCCCCCCAGAGCGAAGCTTGAGCGAGCTCAAGCCCACGCTCTCGGAAACTCACACGCCGGATCGGCGGATTCGTTTTGGCAGGGAGGCACGGGGAAACATGGAGGGCAGAACGAACCGCAAAACGAAACTCAAACAGCACTCAACGTCTAGGTCCAGCCCTGGGGAGGACCAGCGTCGCTGAGAGCGAGCTCAGCGTCCAGACGTCCAGCACTGCGGGGGGGTCCGACGCCGCGAGGGCGGCGGCGGAGGAGAAGGCGCACCACAGGCGCCACAGGGGACACGCGTACAAGGTGGACGTGGTCAAGGCGCGGAAGCGTTCGGCCATCGTGTCGATCTTGTTGGTCGACGTCCCCTTCTTCGCCGTCAGGACTTCCGTATACAGCATCGTTTTGTTGTCTCCGCGGAGTGAAGAGGCTTTGCAGAGCACTACTGTCGTGGTGATTGACGGCAACGCCACCGTTCCCGAAGACGATAACACCACAGTCCTGGAAGACAACACTACGACCACGACAACCACCGCAGCCTCGGCGGATGTGCAGCAGGAGACCTGGAAGGTTCGGTCGTCTCGATTGCCATCGCCAGACATATGGTGGGTTAAGAATTTGGTGTTCATTGTCCTCCAGGCGATGCAGCTTCGCTTCGTGCAGCAGGCCGATCTCGAGAGGTCGCGGGACCTTGTCCTGCTGACCAAGAGCGCCGTCGGAGCGGGAGGAAAGCGCTACAGGATGAAGAGGACCCACGACGAGTCGTTGAAGAAGGTCTGGCTGAGCATCGACCAGGAGCGGACGGAGTCCCAGGGCGCCTTGCAGCCCCGCGAGCCGGAGGCCTTGGGCGCGTCCCCGGAGCCGTCCCCGACCGCCGCCGCCCAGGCGGACCTGCCGCTCTCCGAGTTCCCTGGCCGGCGCGGCTCCGCACTCGCCCGCGGCACGGTCGTCGGTGGTTCAAGGATGGGGCCCCGAGGGATGGGATCCCCCCTCAGGATAGGAAGGGATCCAAGGGTGGATGTACTTGCGTTGTCTGAGGCACCTCGCCGGGGGAACCCCCTCCCTCAGGACCCCAGCTTTGGACCACCAGGTCGGCGCCTTCGCCCCGGACGCCGACCTGAGGATTAGGAGGGGAGAAAATCACTGGGCGGCTCGCCCCTTGGCCCCCCGCCAGCCCCAAGCCAAGTGGCGAGCATATGTACGGGCGCAGCACCGCGCGCTGCGATGCACTCGGCTGGGCCAGGCAGGGGACGACCCAATACTGCATCCAGAGTCGAAGGTGATCTATATTTTAACGTTGTGGCTGCATGATGCGGCCCGAACCCCAGACCAACGAATTGAGCCTCAGCCCAATGTCGAACGTGATTTATACTCCGACGCTGTGGCGGTATGATGCGCCGCGAAGCTGTTTGGTTACGCCGGGGAAGTATCCTCACCGCCCTGGCTTAAAACTGCCAGCGAAATATTCTCACACCCCTGATTGAAAACTGCCAGCGAAACATCCCCAGCCCCTGGCCTAAAACTGCCAGCGAAATATCCTCTACCCCCTGATTTAAAACTGACAGCGAAATATCTTCACACCCCTCAGCAACATATCCTCACCCCTGGTTTAAAACTGCCAGCGAAATATCCTCACCCCCTGACTTAAAACTGCCAGCGAAATATCCCCACCCCCTGGCCTAAAACTGCCAGCGAAATTTCCCTACCTCCTAGCCTCAAACTGCCAGCGAAATCTCCTCACACCCCTGGCTCAAAACTGCCAGCGCAATATCCCCCCCCTGGCCTAAAACTGCCAGCGAGATCTCCTCACACCCTGGCCTAAAACTGCAAGCGAAATCCCACCAGCCCTCTGGGCGTCGGTGGTTTTGGGCGTTTCCTCTTCCACCCCTCCGTTTTCCCCTTCGGGGAGGGGTTTACCCCTCCCACTCCCCCCTCCCCGTGGACGTGGACGGGGGGGCCGCGAGCGGTCAGAGCGTTCAAAACGGCCTCGGCGAGGAAACCCAAATCACTGATTTTAGTAATTAAGGTTTTGGCCCCATTTTGGCTTCCCCTCTTCTTTGATCGATGTCCTTCAAGATGGCCCCATGAAGCGCCCAGGAGGCCCCAAGAGGCCCCAAGATGGCCCCAAGAGGCCCCCAGAGGCCCCCAGGAGGCCCCCAAGAGGATCCCAAACGGCCCAAAGGGCCCCCCCGAGGCACCCACGACGCCGAAAAGCCCTTCAGGACGACCCTCTACTCGCCTGGGCGTCGTTTCTTGATGGGCTGGTGGGGATATTTTCCCGTCGCAACCGCAGGCGAAGGTGCCAGCGGCGAGTCGAGTCAGCTCGGGCTACGAGCGGAACTAATTGCCGGCGCGCGCGGAGCTAAGCAGGACCTACTGCTGGGGGAAGCGGCTGCGCCGAAGCTGTGCCGCAGCGCCGAGGATGGGGACTGCAAGCTGCTGGGGCTGCCAGGAAGCCGCACACGTGCGAATACCATGGGAGCTGAATCGCCAGATATGCGAATTTGACCTGTTCACCACAGGGCGCCAGAGTCTGGGCTGCGGACCAACAGGGGGCACGCCTGGCCGAACAAGAAGGCTGAAACACTCCTGAGTGAGCCGGCGGGCCAGAGTCCCAAAGGGCCAGCGGACAGGGAACCAGAAGCCAGGGAAATGCAAGCATTCGTGCCGGAACTGGTGCGGGTACCATGAGAGCTGAATCACCAGGCAGGACCTTGTCGCCGCAGGGCGCCAGAGGTCGGTGCGCCACAGACGTGGCGAAGCGCGGGGCCACGTGATAGCCCAGCGAGTGACAGCGGACCGACGGGAGACGCGCAAATCCGTACAAGAAGGCTGAACCACTCATGAATGAACCGGCGGCCATAACCCCAGAGGGCCAGCAGCTTTGACAGACGCGGCCAACTGTGGCAATGACTGGGGACCAGATGCCAGGGAAAGCAGACGCTCACGTTGGAACTGGACAGGACGCATGTCCCCAGAACGCCTCAGGGCCGCAGCCGACTCCACGGAGCCGAGCGGGGGCCGAGCGCGAGGGACAGAGAGGCGTGGGCCGAAGACGTCACGCAGAGGGGCCATTGCCAGGGAGACCAACCAGGCCGTGGCCAGGTCCGGGCACTTGCCAGGGTGAAACAATTACAGCAACGGCCAGGGCCGTAAGGCACGCCGCGCTCTGCCCCAGCTGGGCCTGCGCACCCGGTACTGACGGCGCCGGGGGTCCGGGTCCCCGAGGGCGGGGAGGCCGAGCCAGGTGCCGTGCTGGGGCCGATGCTGACGACGCTGGGCCAGCAGCGGGGGGCTGTAACCCGCTGCGGTCAGGTGCGGTGAAGGCCAAGGTGAGCACGGGCCGCAGGCACTGAGGGCGGCGGCAACCAGAGCCCAGGCGCCCGAGACAAGATGCGCGAGCCGGAGACGTCACGCAGAGGGGGCAGTGCCAGGGAAACCGAGCCAGGCCGTGGCCAGGTCCGGGTAATGGCCAGGGCGAAAACAACTACAGCCAAAGGCCGAGGCCGTAAGGCACGTCGCCCCCGCCGCGGCGGGGGCCCCGCGTACCCGGCACCGACGGCGCCAGGGGGCCGGGCCTCCAAGGGCGGGGAGGCCGAGCCAGGTTCCGTGCTTGGGCCGTCACTGGACGACGCTGGGCCAGCAGCGGGGGGCTGCGACCCGCTGCGGCCAGGGGCGGTGAACCCGGGGTGAGCGCTGCTACCGCAGACGAGCAGGCCGTGCATCGGCACTTTGCGCCTCGCCCCGGCCAGGGCATCGCGCCAAGTATTGGCGGCGCCAGGGGCCTGTTCCACATGGGCGGGGCGCTGGCCAAGCGCTGTGTGGTGGCCGGACCCGGTCGTGGGGGGCTGGAGAGATAGGGGCGCGCATGGGCGACTGCGGCAAACGGCTGCACGACCCCAACATGAGAACCTTAATCTTCCAGCAAGTGAGGGGATCCTGCAGCGGCGGGCGTTTCTGTGCCAGGGAAGTGACTAACGGTCACGCTGTCTGTGAAATGAGCGGACTGAAATGCCTACCGGTAACCAACCAGTACTGGAACGTCGGCTTGATTCCAGAGTATACCCCACGATCGATCGAAGCCCCCACCGCACGGGTGCCCGTCTGCCGGTCTCCAGGGGGGGAGGGGGCGACGAGCTGCCTGCGGCAGACGACCGCGCGTTCTTTCTCGAGTACTTCCTCTGCGGCATGCGGCCGCACTTCCGATGCGCACTCCTGCGGCTCTAACCTGTGAGTCACGTCTCCGAGCGCGGGCGCGCCGTCTGTAGCGCGCCCACCTGCCGCCGCGGTATTGCCTTCAGAAGGGGCGAGCTCTCGAGCGCCCATATGCATCTGGCCGCCACCGCGCTGCTGCCCCATGGACGCCGGCAGGAGTGAGGAGCCGCCTGGACGTCCGCTTGCCGGCGTCCAGGAGGGGGGGTGCGACGAGCTGAGGCAGACGACGGCGTGCTCGCTCTCGAGCTCTTCCTGATGGCTGTTGCAGCTAACGGCCGCACATTATAATGCGCACTCCCGGGCCTCTACATTACGAGGAAAGCCTCCGAGCGCGGGCGCGCCCTCAGCATCGCCCCAAGCTGTCGCCGGGACCCTGTGTCCAGGAGGGGTCGCGCTGTCGAGTGCCTCTCCAGCCTCCGCCGCGCTGCTGCTGTTCACTCTCGAGCCCCCCCCGGTGAATGCTGCAGCTAACGGCCGCACTTCCCGACGCGCATCCCTGAAGCTTGTTTTTGTGGGGGGCGTCTCCCAGCGCGGGCGCGCCCTCTGCAGCGATCCGAACTGTCGCCAGGGTATTGTTTCCAGGAGGGGCAGCGCTGTCGAGCGCCTCTCCGGCCACCGCCGCACTGCTGCAGGTGCGCTGATAGGAGTGACGGGCCGAATGGGCGCCCACCTGCCGGCCTCCGGGAGGGGGGGGGGGGCGACGAACCGCGGCGGGCGACCGCGCGTTCGCTGCCGAGCTCTCCCTGAGGATTGTTGCAGGTAACGGCCGCGCGGCAGACGACCGCGCGTGCGCTCTCGAGTTTTCCCTGAAGACAATGCAGCTAGTGGCCGCGCTCCCCAGAATTGACTCTTGAGTCTCTACTGGGTGAGGGGCGTCTCCGAGCGCGGGCGCGCCCTCTGCAGCGCCCCCAACTGTCGCCGGGGCGCTGTCTCCAGGAGGGGTCGCGCTGTCGCGCCTCCACCGCGCTGCTGCCCCAGGGGCGCGGATGGGAGCGAGGGGCCGCGCGAGCGCCCGCTTGCTTGTCTCCAGGAGGGGGAGGGGGCGACAATCTACGCTAGACGACCGCGTGCCCCTCTCCTTGAAGACTGCTGCAGCCGACGGCCGCATTCACCGCAACACACTCCTCAGGCTCCATATTGCGAGGGGCGTCTCCAAGCGCGGGCGCGCCCTCTTCAGCGCACCCGACTGTCGCCAGGGCCCTGTGTCCAGGAGGCGCTTTCGAGCGCCTTTCCGGCCTCCACCGCGCTGCTGCCCCAGGGGCGCTGATGGGAGTAAGGGGCCGAAGGGATGTCCGCCTGTTCTGTCGCACTGCCAGACCTGTCCGCTGACTGTTGCAGCTGAAGGCTGCGCTTTCGGATACTAAATCCTGATTGTTACAAGTGTGAGGAACGTCTCCGAGCGCGGGCGCGCCCTCTGCAGCGCCCCGGGCACCCCCAACCAACGCCGCGAAACTGTCTCCAGGAGGGGGCGCGCTTTCGGGCGCATTTCTGGCCTCGTCCGCGAACCTGCCCCAGGGGCGCTGATGGGAGTGAGGGGCACTGGGGGTCTGCCTGCCGGGTCCTGGGACGGGGGGGGGGACCGACGCGCTGCGGCAAACGACCGCCTGACCAGTCTCGAGCTGTCCCAGTGGAGTTTTTACTTAACAGCGAAGACGGATAGGCTTCTAATAGGGTCACAAGAGAGCATCATGACTCCCCAGGGGGGTCTGGGCGGCATCCGGACAGGAATCCGCAAAGTCGTGTTAAACAAAGAGTGACACACTTCGTTGTCTTCGAGGTCCCAGAACTCCATTCCCGGGCCACATTCTGAATGCCCGGAGCCAGCTGTAGGCCACTTCGTGCTCTTCGAGTGCCCAGAACCTCATTCCCGGCCCACATTTTGAATGCCCGGAGCCAACTGTAGGCCACTTCGTGCTCTTCGACTTCCCAGATTTCCATTCCCGGGCCACATTTTGAATGCCCGGAGCCATCTGTAGGCCACTTCGTGGTCTTCGAGTTCCCAGAACTGCATTCCTGGATATGATTTTGAATGCCCTAGGCCACTTCGTGTTCTTCGAGTTCCCAGAACCGCATTCCCGCCGGGCCACATTTTGAATGCTGAGGCAGGCTGATGCTGAGGCTGAGGCAGGCTGAGGCTGAGGCTGAGGCAGGCTGAGGCCGAGGCCGAGGCTGAAGGCAGACTGAGGCTGAGGCTGAAGCTGGCTGAGGCTGAGGCTGAGGCAGGCAGAGGCTGAGGCTGAGGCAGGCTGATGCTGAGGCAGGCTGAGGCTGAGGCTGAGGCTGAGGCTGAGGCTGAGGCAGGCTGAGGCTGAGGCAGGCTGAGGCTGAGGCCGAGGCTGAAGGCAGACTGAGGCTGAGGCTGAAGCAGGCTGAGGCTGAGGCTGAGGCAGGCTGAGGCTGAGGCTGAGGCAGGCTGATGCTGAGGCAGGCTGAGGCTGAGGCTGAGGCTGATGCAGGCTGAGGCTGAGGCAGGCTGAGGCTGAGGCCGAGGCTGAAGGCAGACTGAGGCTGAGGCTGAAGCAGGCTGAGGCTGAGGCTGAGGCAGGCTGAGGCTGAGGCTGAGGGCTGAGGCAGGCTGAGGCTGAGGCTGAGGCTGATGCAGGCTGAGGCTGAGGCAGGCTGAGGCAGAGGCCGAGGCTGAAGGCGGACTGAGGCTGAGGCTGAAGCAGGCTGAGGCTGAGGCTGAGGCAGGCTGAGGCTGAGGCAGGCTGAGGCTGAGGCTGAGGCAGGTTGAGGCTGTGACTGCGACTGCCGTTGCCACTGCGACTGTCATCGCGAATGCGACTACGACTGCGAGAACAGCAGAATTCGACAACTGGATTCTCCTCTGAATCTTAAGGGGAATGCTTCCAGATATGCTCCTGCACATCGTTGTTAGGTTGCTTTGCCGGGGTAATTCAGCTGAAGGCCGCACTTTCGGATGCAAATTCCCGAGTGTCTGCGTTGGGGGGAACGTCTCCGAGCGCGGGCGCGCCCCCTGCCGCGCGCCCAGTTATCGCCGCGATACTGTCTCCAGGAGGGAGCGCACATCCGACGGCGTTTCTGGGTTCCTCCGCGAACCTGCCCCAGGGGCGCAGATCGGAGCGGCTGGCGGGGATACTTTTCGTCGCCCAGAGGACAGTTGCAGCTGGAGGCTGGATTTCGTGGAACAAAGCCCGGACTGCCAAAATTGCAGGGGCGTCTCCGAGCGTGGGCGCGCCCGCTGCTGCGCCCCGGGCACCCCAAACCACCGCCGCGATGCTGTCTCCAGGAGGGGGCGCGCTCTCGAGCGCATTTCCGACCTCCTCCGCGAAACTGCCCCAGGGGCGCAGATAGGAGCGAGGGGCACAATGGGGGTCCGCCTGCTGGTCTCCAGGAGGGGGAGGGACCGACGCACAGTGGCAATCGACCGCCGGATCGGTCTCGAGCTCATGAATCGGGGGGAACGTCTCCGAGCGCGGGCGCGCCCTCTGCGCGCGCGGGCGCGCCCTCTGCAGCGCCCCCAGTCATCGCCGCGATACTGTCTCCAGGAGGGGGCGCGCTTGCGACGCCATTTCTGTGTTCCTCCGCGAACCTGCCCCAGGGGCGCTGATAGGAGTGAGGAGTACTATGGGGGTCAGCCTGCCGGTTTCCGGGAGGGGGGAGGACCGACGTGCTGCGGTAAACGACCACTCGATCAGTCTCGAGCTCTCCCAGAGGACATTGGCAGCTGGAGGCCGCACTTTCGCATGCAAATTCCTGAGTGTCTGAATTGGGGGGAACGTCTCCGAGCGCGGGCGCGCCCTCTGCAGCACCCCGAAGTAATCGCCGCGATACTGACTCCAGGAGGGGGCGCGCTTTCGACGGCATTTCTCGGTTCCTCCGCGAACCTGCCCCAGGGGCGCTGATAGGAGTGAGGGGCATCATGGGGGTCCGCCTGCGGGTCTCCAAGAGGAGGGGGACCGACGCGCTGCGGCAAACGACCGCCTGATCAGTCTCGGGCTCTCCCATTTGACTTTTGCAGCTGAAGGCCGCACTTTCGCATGCAAATTCCTGGGTGTTAGAATTGTGAGGGGCGTCTCCGAGCGCGGGCGCGCCCTCTGCAGCGCCCCCAATTGTCGCCGCGGCACTGTCTCCAGGAGGGGGCGCGCTTCGGGTCGTATCTCCTGTCTCCACAACGAGACTACCCCAGGGGCGCTGATAGGGGTGAGGAGCACTCCGCCTGCCTGCCTCCAGGAGAGGGAGGAGCGAGCGCGCTGCCGCTGCTCTGGGCACGGGGCGGGCCACCGGGCTGGCCGTCAGGCGGGCCGTGGGGCGGGCAGCCGGCCATGCCGTGGGGCTGGCAGTCGGGCTGGCCGCGGGGCTGGTCGCCAGGCTGGCCGTGGGGCCGGCCGCGGGGCTGGCAGTCGGGCTGGCCTCGGGGCTAGCGGTTGGGCTGGCCGTCCGGCTGGCCGCCAGGCTGGCCGTGGGCCTGGCAGTCGGGCTGGCCGGGGGGCTGGCCGCCGGGCTGTCCGTGGGGCTGGCCGTCAGGCTGGCCGCGGGGCTGGCCGTGGGGCTGGCAGTTGGGCTGGCCAGGGGGCGGGTCGCCAGGCTGGCCGAGGGGCGGGCCGAGGGGCGGGCCGCGAGCCGCAGCGGCGGCGCCGGCCACCGCGCACCGCCGCCGCCAGAGGAGCCGGCAGCGGCGGCGGCGGCCGCGGCGCTGGCGCGGCGGCGTCGGCGCCCGCTTCCGCGCCCGCCGCCGCCGCCGCCGGCGGGGGGCGGCGGCGGCGGCGGCGGCGGCGGCAGCAGCGGCTGCCGCGAAGGCAGCCGCGACGCCGGCCACGGCGCCGCCGGCCGCCGCCGCCGCCGGCGAGGGGGGCCAGCGGCGGCGGCCGCAGCGGTGGGGCGGCGGCGGCGGCAGCGGCGGTTGTGGCGCCGCCGCCGCCCCCCGGCCACCGCGCCCTCAGCGAGGGGCAGGCAGCGGCGGCGGCGGCAGCGGCAGCGGCGGGGCAAGCGACCAGCGCGGTGCCAGCCGCGCCCGCGGCACCACTGGCGCCGGCGGCGCAGGCGGCGCCCGCGGGGGCCCACCGCCGGCCGCCCAGCCCAGGCGGGCCGCCGCGGGCGGCGGCAGCCAGGTCCGCGGCGCCACCGCCGCCAGCCGCCGCTCGCGCGCCAGCCTCTGGGGGGGGCGTCAGCGGCGGCGGCGGCAACGGCAGCCGGGGGCGGGGCCAGCCAGCGGCAGCCGGGTCCGCCCGCCGCCGCGCGCACGCCAGCCTCCAGGGGGGGGCGGCTGCGGCGGCGGCAGCGGCGGCAGCCAGGTCCGCGGCGCCGCCCCGCCCGCCGCCGCGCGCGCGCCAGCCTCCAGGGGGGGGCGGCTGCGGCGGCGGCAGCGGCGGCAGCCAGGTCCGCGGCGCCACCGCCGCCAGCCGCCGCGCGCGCGCCAGCCTCCGGGGGGGGCGGCAGCGGCGGCGGCGGCAGCAGCAGCCGGGGGCGGGCCGAACCCGCGGCAGCCAGGTCCGCCTGCCGCCGCGCGCATGCCAGCCTCCAAAGGGAGGCGGCGGCGGCAGCAGCAGCAGCAGGGGGCAGCCGAGGCCAAGCGGCCGGCCGCGGGCAGCAGCAGCAGGGTGGCGCCAGCGCCGAGGCCAACGCGGCAGGCCGGGCGCGGCGCGAACCTGGACCAGGGGCGAGCTCGAGCCGAGACGGCTTGAGCCAAGGCTTGAGCCAGGCTACGGACGCTGGTGGGGATACGCGAAGCGTCTAGAATATTTTCACACCCCTGACTGCAAAGTGAAACTGCCAGCGAAATATCCTCACACCCCTAGCTTCAAGCTGCCAGCGAAATATCCTCACACCCCTGGCTTAAAACTGCCAGCGAAATATCCTCAACCTCATGACTTAAAACTGCCAGCGGAATATCCTCACACCCCTCGCTTAAGACTGCCGGCGAAAGATCCCCACCCCCTGGCCTAAAACTGCCAGCGAAATGTCCTCACACCCCTCGCTTCAAATTGCCAGCGAAACCTCACCACCCCCTCGCCTAAGACTGCCAGCGAGGTATCCTCACACCCGTCGCTTAAAACTCCCAGCGAAGTATCCTCACACCCTGACCTAAAACTGCCAGCGAAATATCCTCACACCCCTCGCTTAAAACTGCCAGCGAAATATCCTCACCCCCCTGACTTCAACTGAAAATCGCCAATGAAATATCCTCACCCCTGGCCTAAAACTGCCGGCGATCTATCCTCACACCCCTGACAGAAAACTGCCAGCGAAATAGCCCCACCCCCTGACCTAAAACTGCCGGTGAGATATCCTCACCCCCCTGGCTTCAAACCACCAACGAAATATTCTCACCCGCGGAAGTAAAACTGCCATCCAACAGCTTTTGTGATTCAGTGCAGCTCTGCCAGTCTGCTCCCCGAAAACCAAATTGCGTGCTGCGCCCGTAAAACACAGACACGACGAATCGTCGACCACCCGGAACAGATGGGCAGAGATTGGAAGCGGGGGGGCAAAGAAAAAGTCCAGAGCATCTGAACAAAAAGCAAGGATTTTGGTTTCCTCGGCGAGGCCGTTTTGGACGCTCCGACACCTCGCGGCCCCCCCTTCCAAGTCCAGGGGAGGGGGTAGGGTGAGAGGTACCCCCCCCCCCGAAGGGGAAGAAAGGAGGTTGGAAGAGGAGCCGCCTTCAACCACCTACGCCCAGAGCTGGTGGGATTTGGGGAATCTTGGGATTTGTGTGTATTTGTTTGTGTGTCCTGGGGCCCCTTCAGAGGAGCCACGCCGCGCCGCGCGGCACGGTCGGCGCCTTCGCCCCCGACGCCGACGCGGAGGGCCCCGGCGGCCGCCGCGCCTCGGCGGCCGAGGCCGAGGCGCCAGGCCTCCGCGGCCGGTGGCGCCCGACGGCGCCCGCGCGCGGCAGCCTGGCGCCCGGCGGCGAGGACGGCGACGGCGACGACGACGACGGCGACGACGGCGACCGCGTCGACGGTGACGGCGGCGACGACGACGACGGCGACGACGACGACGACGACGACGGCGACGACGCGACGCCCGGAGGGCCGGATGTCGCGCCGCGAGAGCGCCGACAGCGGCGCCAGCACGGAGCGCCGCGCCGCCACGACTCGCCGAGGCTGGCGGCGGCACCTTCTCTCCATTCTCCTCTCTCCTCTCTCCTTTCGTCTCCTCCTCCTCCTCCTCCGCCTCCTCCTCCTCCTCCGCCTCCTCCTCCTCCTCCCTCTCCCTCCTCCTCCCTCTCCTCCTCCTCCTCCCCTCCTCCTCCTCCTCCTCCTCCTCTCTCCTCCTCCTCCTCCTCCTCCTCCTCCTTCTAATCCCTCCTCCCTCCTCCTCCCTCCTCCCTCCTCCTTCCTCGCTCCTCCTCCTCCTCCTCCTCCTCCTCCTCCTCCTCCTCCTCCTTCTCCTCCCTCCTCCCCTCCTCCTTCCTCGCTCCTCCTCCTCCTCCTCCTCCTTCTCCCTCCTTCCTCCTCCTTCTCCCTCCTCCCTTTCCTCATCCTCCTCCTGCCCCAGCGGCGGCGGCGACGGGGGTGACGGCGTCGGTTCAAGTACGGGGCCTTGAGGACTCGGGCCCATCCCGTGTTGGTTTTACACTGTCTGAGGCCCTTCGTCCTTGGTACCCCATCTTTTAGAGTCCCACCTTCGATGCAACGAGCGTGTTTTTAAACCCTCCGGGCCATAACACGCGTGATGCCCCTCCCTCCCCCCCATACAGTAACGCTCCCCTCCCCCTAGTGCGCCTGCGGCACTGCAACTGCGATACTCACAGGCTACCGTGGCGCTTGCAGGCCATTTTAACTTTCGTAGTCGTGTTCGAGGGCTTCGGAGGGCCTGCAGACGCTTCACAGGCCTTCAGAGATCTCCTGAGGCCTCGGGAGACCTCGTTAGACTTTCAGAGGCGATCGTCGTCGTCGTCGTTATTGCCGTCGTCGTCGTCGTCGTCGTGGTCGTCCTCGTCGTCCTCGTCGTCGTCGTCAGGGTCGTCGTCAGGGTCGTCTCTCTAGTCGTCATCGTGGTCCTCGTCCCCGTCCCCGTCCTCGTCCTCGTCCCTGTCGCCGTCCTCGTCCTCGTCCTCGTCCTTCTCGTCCTCGTCGCCGTTTTCGCCATCCTCGTCGTCGTCGTCGTCGTCGCCGAGGGCCTCGAAGGGCCTCCAGACGCCTCCAGAGGAGATCTCCGCAGACCTCTTTCGGCCTCCAGAGGCCTCTAGCCTTCAGCTGTGACCATCGTCGTCGTCGTCATCATCGTCCTTGTGCTTGTTCTCGTCCTCGTCGTCGTCGTCGTCGTCGTCGTCGTCGTCCTTGTCGTCGTCCCCCGTCCCCGTCCTTGGTCTTGTCCTCGTCGTCGTCGCCGAGGGCCACGAATGGCCTCCAGACGCCCCAGAGGTCTCCAGAGACCTCCTTAGGCCTCCATGCAAAGACCTCCTGAGACCTTCGTCGTCCTCCTCGTCGTCGTCCTCGTCCCCGTCGTCGTCCTCGTCCTCGTCCTCGTCCTCGTCCTCGTCCTCGTCCTCCTCGTCCTCGTCCTCGTCTTCGTCGTCGCGGTCGTCCCCGTCCCCGTCCTCGTCCTCGTCGTCGTCGTCGTCTTCGTCGTCGTCGTCGTAAACATCGTTGTCGTCCGGCGCTCGGGCGCCCTCGTCGTCCAACAAACACCAGCACATAATAATGCTCGAAGGAGGGTGGAGGTGAAAACATTGTGGTGCTGCAGGTACGCACTGCGCAGTACATCGGCGATGTGGTGCACGCAGTTGCGGCGGTGCATCCTGTGCCGCGCACTGTTGTGTTTGCTGTGATGCGCGCATGCGCTGTGGTGGGGGCTTTACGTTATGCCCCCCCCGCTCGACGAGTGGCGGCGGCGGCGACTCCCCAGAGGCAAGCCGAAGCTCCGGCCCATGGCCACGATCATGTCGGTGGTGCGCGCAAGGGGGCGGGGGGGGGCGCCCTCTCTCGCGGTGGCTGCTATGGGGAGGCTCGTGGAGGATCGGAGGTAGGATGGGGATGATAGGGAGGAGGAGGAGGAGGAGGAGGAGAAGACTGAGACTGGGGCAAGAAGGTGCTGTCCAAACTCGTGGATGGCCGCCCCCCTCAGTTCTGCAAGGCTGGCCAGACGAGACAGGCAAGAGTCAGGGTGCAGAGGAGCAGTTTCTCGCGCCCGCCGTCCGCCTGTTTGAGGAGCGGATCATGGGACTCGGAGTGCGCGCCAGGATGAGAAGAATGGGATAGGGGGAGGAGGGGAGAGGGGAGGGTTGCGAATATGCATTCGGCCGATTCGGAGTGCGGAGGATGTGAGAAGGACGAGATGCTGGAGCAGGGGCAGGGGCAGGCAGAGAGGAGGGTCAGGAGCGGCGGCAGGGATGGGCGCAGTGAGGAAGGGCCGGGGCTGCGGAGCGAGGGAGTGGAGGCGTGGGGCGCGCAAGCGGGCGAGCCAGGGAGCGAGCGAGTGAAGCATGAGGGGGAATGAGGAGGGAGGAGGGTGGAGGGGGGAGGGGGGAGGGAGGAGGGAGGAGGAGGAGGAGGGAGGAAGAGAGGTGGATTCGGAGTTCATCTTGCCATTCCCCTCCTCCCCCGCTGACGCCGATATGAAGCCAGGGTCTGTCGGGGCGTCGGCGGCGAGGACGACGTCGCACTCGGCAGGAGCAGCGAGCCAGACGGCGCCTTTGCCCGAGGGCGTGAGCGCGTGCAGCCATCGCCTCTGGCAGCAGCTCGACTGCAATCTTGACTGGCGCGCCCGGTTGGTAGAGGACCACCTGTGGTGGAGGAGAACTGGGCACCGCCCCGCTCTCCCTCGCCATGGGGGAAGCGGGTCCTGGGGGAAACGGGTCCTAGGCTTAAGTCGGGCCTGTTTTTCTACAGGAGAAATACTCAGAGATGGTCAAACCAATAGTCTGGGGACTCTCCATTTTCGGGCTTCCCGGGGCCCTCCACGGGCCCTGGGGGCTGTCAGACAGGGCTGGACCTAAACGGTGTTTGGGCGATTTCGTGGGCCGTTTTCGTTTCGACTTCGTTTTGCGGCAAAGGCGGATTGAAGACAAAACGAGGGAAAACGAAGACAACACGAAAACGAATAACACCGTTCAGGTTCAGCCCTGCTGTCAGACAACGACTGATGACGACGAGCCGGTCCTGGGGGAACGCCCCTGGGGTCCAGGACCCGTCTCCCTCGGGACCCGCTTCCCCCCGTGCTGCGCACCGCCCCGCCTTTTTGCACTTCTACTATCTGTGCCTCGGTCCCCCAGGGGCGGCGCGCGCACCGAGAAATCTTAGAGTATATGCGTCGTGGCGGGCGCTTTCTGGCCACCGCTCGGGAAACGATATACTACAAGATGGGTGTACTAGATGTTCGGCTTGGACGCGCGCCTACAAGGAAAACATATAGTATTAGTGTGTCTCTGTGCGTCCCATGGTCCCTGCCGCGGGCCGTTGACGACGAGCTGCGCGCGGGCGCGGCGCCCATCGCTTGGCCGCTTTCGGCTCGCGAGAGGGCGTCGCGGCCGTCATGTTTGCGGGTCAGTCAGGAGGGGAACAAAAAAGACAGACACAATTCATCGTCGATTTCCAGGAAAATATAGAAACATTATCCCAGTGCGACCCTACCTAGGAGTTGGAGCATCTAGGAAAGCAACATCTACATCTACACCGACAGCTACATTAACATCTAGGGTACGCTCGGCTGCGCTGTGTTATGCTATGCTATGCTATGCTACGCTATGCTGCGGTATGCTATGCTATGCTATGCTATGCTGCGCTATGCTTTGCTCTGCTATGCTATGCTGCGCTATGCTATGCTAGGCTATGATATGATATGATATGCTGCGCTATGGTATGCTATGCTATACTGCGCTATGCTATGCTGTGCTGTGCTATGCTATGCTGTGCTACGCTGGGCTATGTTGCGCTGTGCTATGCTAAGCAATGTTATGCTATGTTATGCTATGGTATGATATGCTATGGTATGATATGCTATGCTGCGCTATGATATGCTATGATATGCTATGATATGCTATGATATGCTGAGCTATGCTATGCCATTCTATGCTATGCTTGGTTATGTTATGCTATGGTATGCTGTGCTAATGCTGCGCTGCGCTATGCTGCGCTAAGCTAAGTTAAGGTAAGCTAAGCTATGCTAAGCTAAGCTAAGCTAAGATAAGCTGGGCTAGCTAAGCTAAGCTAAGCCAAGCCAAGCTAAGCTAAGCTAAGCTAAGATGAGATAAGCTAAGCTAAGCTAAGCTAAGCTAAGTAAGCTAAGCTAAGCTTAGCTTAGCTTAGCTAAGCTGGGTGAACCCAGGGGGCGCAACTGGGGGAACCGCGGGGCGGGGACTGGGGGAACCGCCCGGGGCGTGTTGCACTGCCCGGCCCCTTTAAGCTAACGGAGTAAGAACCCTTCTAGGCAGAGCCTAGGTAGGGAATATGGGAAGTGGGGGGGAAGACGAAAACACAGAAACTATATACAAATATGGGGACTCTGGTTAATTCGTTCCCTACCTAGGCTCTGCCTAGAAGGGTTCTTACTCTCTATCTTAAAGGGGCCGGGCAGTGGAAAGCGCCCCTGGCGGTTCCCTTGGTATCCGCCCCGCAGTTCCCCCAGTTACGTTCCCTTAGCTTAGCGCTGCTTACCTTATCTTAGCTTAGCCTAGCTTAACTTAGCTTAGCTTAGCTTAGCTTAGCCTAGCCTAGCCTAGCTTAGCTTAGCTTGGCTCAGCTTAGCTTAGATTAGCGTAACGCAGCATTAGCATAGCATGGCATAGCATATCATAGCATTTCATATCATAGCATATCATAGCATATCATAGCGCAGTATTGCCTAGCTTAACATAGCAAAGCGTAACATATCATAGCATGGCATACCATATCATAGTTTAGCTTAGCATAGCACAGCGCAGCATATCATACCATATCATATCATATCATGCCATAGCATAGCATGGCGCAACATGGCATAGCATAACATAGCACAGCGCAGAATACCATAGCATAGCATAGCAACTCATAACATATCGCAACACAACATATCATATCATAGCATAGCGCAGCATAGCAAATCATAACATATCATAACACATCATATCATAGCATAGCGCAGCATAGCATAGCATATCATAGCGTAGCATAGCGCAGCATATCATAGCATAGCCTAGCATAACATAGCGCAGCCTAGCATACCCTAGCATATCATAGCATAGCATAGCGCAGCATAGCGCAGCATATCATCGCATAGCACAGCATATCATAGCATTGTGCAGCATAGCATAGCATAGCATAGCATAGCGCAGCATAGCATATCATAGCATAGCAGAGCGCATCATAGCATAGCATATGATAGCCTAGCATAACATAGCGCAGCCTAACACACCCTAACATAACATAGCATACCATAGCGCAGCATAGCGCAGCATAGCATAGCATCGCATGGCAAATCAACAACAATGTAGGTGTAGATGTAGGTATCTGTGTAGGTGTAGATGTGAGTCTCGCTGTTGATGTTGATGTAGATGTATATGCAGGTGTAGATGCTAATGTAGCTGTCGGTGTAAATGTAGATGTTGCTTTCCTAGATGCTCCAACTCCTAGGTAGGGTCGCACTGGGATAATGTTTACTTATTTGTGTGCCCCTGGGCCCCTTTAAGGAGATGGCTTCCTGAAGGGGGGTTGGTCCACCGCCGGAGGGCGCCCGACGGCGGACATCTTGGGAGGGCCGCGGGCCGAACGCGGCACGGGCACGGTCGATCTCGGCGCGGTCGCGGGCGCCCACGGCGGAGAGGTTGCCCTCCCCTCCTCCCCACCACCCGCATCCTCCGCCGCGTCCCGTCCTCCCGAGAGGAGGCCCGCCTCTTTTGCCCCGTGGGCCTCCCAGAGCCACCGGCTCCCCTGTCCCGGGACTGGTGCGCCGCGGCGGGCCCGCGTCAGGCGAGGCCAGGACCAGGACAAAAAATGGGGCCAGGATGGATCGGGGACCTGTGACGGGGTTCGAGCTAAGCAGTGTTTTGGCGATGCCGTGAACCGTTCTGGTTTCTGACGTCGTTGTGCGGCAAGGGTGGAAGGAAGACAGGACGTGGAAACCTGAAATTAGCCCGGCGAAAGGACCAACCATAAGCAGTGATACGTACCGCAGTTGTGAGTACCATCTTCGGTGTCCTCCTATGCGGCCACGAACCGTTTGAGGGGGTGTGCCAACGTGGCCGGGCGGCGGCAGGCGGCCTTTTCCACAGGGGCGCTCGGTGGAGCTCCCTATGGGGCCACGAAGCGTGCGAGGGGTGTGCAGAAGTGGGGCCTCACCGACATGCGGACCCTGTCGCTGCGGCCTTTGGTGATGCCGCCTCAAGCCACGAAACGTGCGAGGGGTGCGCCAACACGTGGGATGGAACCGCATGCGGGCGCTGCCACTGGGGCCTCAGGTAGAGCACCCTGTGGGGCCACGGAACGCGTGAGGGGTTCGCCGACATGGGGGGTGGAGCCGCGTGTGAACGCAGCCTCTGGGGCCTTCGGTGGAGCTCCCTACGGGGCCACGAAGCGTGTGAGGGGTGTACCAAAATTGCACGGTGGCGGCATGCGGGCCCTGGCATTGGGGCCTTCGGTGGAGCTCCCTACGGGGCTACGAAACGTGTGAGGGGTGTGCCCAAATGGCGAGGTGGCGGCGTGCGGGCCCTGGCACTGGGGTCTTCGGTGGAGCTCCCTATGGGGCCACGAAGCGTGTGAGGGGTGTGCCGAAATGGCGAGGTGGCGGCATGCGGGCCCTGGCGCTGGGATCTTCGGTGGAGCTCCCTTTGGGGCCACGAAGCGTGTGAGGGGTGTGCCGAAATGGCGAGGTAGCGGCATGCGGGCCCTGGCACTGGGGCTTTCGGTGGAGCTCCCCATGGGGCCACGAAGCGTGTGAGGGGTGTGCCGAAATGGCGAGGTGGCGGCATGCTGGCCCTGTCACCGGGTCCTCCGGTGGAGCTCCCTACGGGGCTATGAAACGTGTGAGGGGTGTGCCCAAATGGCGAGGTGGCGGCATGCTGGCCCTGGCACCGGGGCCTTCGGTGGAGCTCCCGATGGGGCCATGAAGCGCTGTACTGACTGGGTGTGCCGAAACAAAGACATGCCGAGAGCAGAGGCAAGGAGGGGGAGGAGGAGGAGGAGGAGGAGGAGGAGGAGGAGGAGGAGGAGGAGGAGGAGGAGGAGGAGGAGGAGGAGGAGGAGGAGGAGGAGGAGGAGGAGAAGGAGGAGGAGGAGGAGGGAGGAGGAGGAGGAGGAGGAGGAGGAGGAGGAGGAGGAGGAGGAGGAGGAGGAGGAGGAGGAGGAGGAGGAGGAGGAGGAGGAGGAGGAGGAGGAGGAGGAGGGAGGAGGAGGAGGAGGATGAGGAGGAGGAGGCGGAGGAGGAGGAGGAGAGGAGGAGGAGGAGGAGGAGGGGGGAGGAGGGGGGGGAGGAGGGGGGAGGAGGGGGGAGGAGGGGGAGGAAGGGGGGAGGAGGGGGGAGGAGGGGGGAGGAGGGGGGGAGGAGGGGGGAGGAGGGGGAGGAGGGGGGAGGAGGGGGGGGGGGGGGGGGAGGGGGGAGGGGGGGGAGGAGGGGGGAGGAGGGGGGTGAGGAGGAGGAGGAGGAGGAGGAGGAGGAGGAGGAGGAGGAGGAGGAGGAGGAGGAGGAGGAGGAGGAGGAGGAGGAGGAGGAGGAGGAGGAGGAGGAGGAGGAGGAGGAGGAGGAGGAGGAGGAGGAGGAGGAGGGAGGAGGAGGAGGAGGAGGAGGAGGAGGAGGAGGAGGAGGAGGAGAGAGGACGCGGGGCGCTGTCTGTTCAAAACGAGGACCTGGCACCACAGGATGGCTGGGAACAAACAAGAAAACGAAAACATTGTTTAGCTCGAGCCCTGATGTCTGAGACCCGGCGGCTCTGGATGATATATCGGGCGCAGCGGCCGTTCCAGAGCGTGCAGGGACGCTCCGAGAGCGCCACGGGACGCTTTGGAACGACATACCCTGTCCCTGAGCCCGCCCGACCATGATTGAGAGCCATTCGCCACCGTGGTTTTTCATGACGCCCAGAAGACTGGAGCCGCTTCGTCCTAGCAGACTGTTCCTAGGCTCTCGGGCAAAGTTCCTTCGTTCACTCCTCCGCGCCCCGGTGGTGGCGCCAGGGCAGCACCTACACGAGGTCGACGACGGGCTTGAGTTTTTCCCGGAGCAGCAGACCTGCGGACCTGGAGACCCGAGCACTCTGGGAGGGAGGGAGGGAGGCAGGAGGAAAAGGAGGTGGAGGATGATAAGGAGGACCAAGAAGAGGATGTGGAGGAGGAGGTGGAAGAGGAGGAGGAGGAGGAGGAGAAGCAGGACGACGAAGAGTTCGACGAAGAAGAGGACGAGAGGGGAGGATGAGGGAGGAGCCGCAGGGTTCCATATTTTGAATGAGCTGGAGGCGGAGGGAGGAGGATGAACTGGAGGAGAAGGAGGAGGAGGAGCAGTAGGAGACGACGTCTAGACGATACGAGCCCATGGAATCCACAACTGTCTGACTGGCCAACAGCTTTACTTGGGACTCTGGGAACGGGCAGCTTCGACCCTCACGGAAAGCGTTTCAGCGCAACATCTGCAGCTCACATTATTTGTTGAGACATTGGTTTGCCGACACCTTTAGGCACGCAGCCTCGAACGAGGGTCGGCTCTGACGTCGCATGAGGCAGCCTCGGAGTAAGCTTAGCCTGACTCTCGTTGCTGGCTCTCCTCGCGGGTCGATCCTTTCCCCTCCCCAAGCCCACGACTCAACTACGATCTCCCCCTCCCACGGCCAGAGCCTCTTCGAGGCACAACTGCTGTTACAGCTGTTGCTGGTATGCTTCGCAATTCTGACTGTGAATAGCTCTGCATGCTACGCGCTCCCGCGAATGCTCGTGCTGCCATCTCTGGGTCAATACCTCCCCTGGCTACTAGCTGGTCACCTGTCGTAGCTCCTTCTCCTCGTCGGCGTCCTCGCCCTCCGCGTGCTGGCGGGCCGCGACGTAGTGGACCCCAGCCGCGAAGATGTGCAGGTGTGGCGGGCCTCGCCCGCGGTGAGTTCAAGACGCTGCCTTGTCCTTCTTCTGCTTCAAGGCCAGCTCCTTGCTCACCCGATCGTACTCCTTGCTCGGCGCCGCCAGTGCCGCTGGGAACCTCGGCACTGCGCTCATCCTGTACGTGATGAAGGCCGCCGACGCCAAGTCCGCCTTGCCCGACGCGTGGTCGCCAGGAGCAGCCTGGCCACGAGAACAGGTAGCCTGCCGTACCTGTTGTTGTCCTTGCTGCTGGCCGCTTCGCTTCACTTTTTCTTCTTGGGCTCCTGTCCTTCGGTGCCCTCTGGCCTGCGTCCCAGAGAGGCAGCTGAGTTGAACCAAGATGGCATCTCCAGCGGCACGACTTGAGAGGCCGGTGGAAGGAACACGTGTATATTGGGGCTGCTGCGCACGACATGGAGACAACTTCTAAGGAAGATGTGGGCTCATATGGCCGCAGAGATAGTGTAAACCAGTTCCCGTATCTTTGCAGACTGGACAATCATACGTATCTGGCTGCACCAGTGGAGATAAAGATGTGGGGCCCCTCGTCAAAGAGTTACCTCGAAGAACAGTTCCCAAGAGTTGGCGAGCTGCTGTTACTCTTGTTAAGAGTATGTGTCTACAGTTAATACAACTGTTACTCTGTGCGAGGACTGCTGGTAAGTTTCGTACATGGTGATGTGCACGCATAGTATTTAGTAACACGTTACGGTCTTGACACGCAGCTCTTCATATTTTCTCGTACGTTTTCGCGATTTGGCACCTGCACTTCCCTGGGTCCTCCACGTCCTTGTCCTCCTCCGCCACCTCCTGTGTAGGCCTAGGCATGCGAAACACCGGAGGTGGTATCGTTGCCCCGAACTCCCTGGCCCTAAGCTCCGTGAAATTGATCGAGACGAAATCCCGGGAAGCTTCCGAGTCGGCGAGTATCCAAAAGTCCGACAGGAGCTCATCGACGGCATAGTGTTCTAGACGCGTACTCAAGACCCTGGATCATCTGATGTAGCCATGGGGAAGCGGCTGCCGTCGGGACCCTGTCCTGGAGTTGGGGCTCGACCTCGCAAGGCTGATCGATCGCGAGCGTGCCGAACATCGCGCAGAGGGGCTGCGCATGCCATTCTGGACGGGGGACCTACGATTGGTAAAGTTTGATGCGCCGAATCGTGAGCTCGATTTTACTGCCAGCCAACCACCAGTAGCTGAGTACCTGTGCGTTGCTGAGTGAGCGAACTGTACTGTCATCTCGCCCAGCTGTCGCAGCACTTCGCATCGTAATTCCACACAGGGCTGCAAGGCACCGATCTAAACCATCATAGCCGCTCTGTTGAAGCACAAACGGTTCAAGACCACCTGGCGAGCGTGTCGTACACCTGCACCTGCGCGAGGGCGCGACGCACTTATACGATAGTGGCAGTGGCCAGATCTCGCCAAACTGTAGACAGACCGTTCAGCCATTTTACAGCACCTGTGTATTTCGTTATGTGCAGTGTCCTTGGGCTTCAGGAGGGGCCCAAGCACCTGGCAGAATCCGAGGCAGTCCCCTGGATAGTGCCTCTGCATCCCCGAAGAGTGCGACGTGCTTGATAGTCACGATGGGCAACGTGCAAGAGCACCCCCTGTTTCCCCACATTCTGCCCCATACCCATTCGGCTCCAACGACTCATCTAGTAATTAATCAATTCGCCGAAGTATGTCCCGAAACACTCGTAACCTACTGCCCCCGTCAGCCAACCTTAGTCGCCGTAGGTCGTCTGTATATTTCGTCAAGCTCCGAAATGATTCAATGATGACAACCCTGCCCAGGAAGAAAGCAAAGCCCTCGAGGGTAACTCATTTCGTCAGCTCCAACCTCGTACTTCGCGAGAAACGTACGAATGAACCCTTGTACACCGAACGAGTCCTCCATGGGTTCTCCGCATCTCGTCCGCACGAAGAGAGGCCCCTCTCGGGCGCCAAGCTCAATGATGCCCGAGCGGTAGCGCTGCCGCCTACACAGTGCCTGATCATGCTCCGCCGCCGCTAAAGAAACAGTCTGGCCCACTTCTGACCAGGTCGAGCACGCGAACGCATTGCTCATATTTTCAAACGTGCTACAGTATGTGATGTTTTCTTTCTTCTCCCTCCACCCAGTCGTTCATGTTACCGGCAAGGCGTTGTTTGACAACGATGTTTAACGAATCCATGATTTGCTAAACTAGGGTTCAAGTTCAGCTTGTTGGCGAAACACGCCTTCCTTGTAACCAGTTATGCATGCACGACACGGGCCCACGGGCCCTCTTGGGGCCTTCCACCATCCACCAGCTTCTTGAGGATGGTTGCTGTTCTCGAGTTGTTCCATTACAGCGGCACCTCCTGGTATCCCCTCATCTTGGCCAACCCCACAGAAAGCAACACCATAACCCCCGCGGATTCATAATCGTCATCTTGGCCCGTACCACAGACCGCGATCGTATTCGATACACACAGAGCCGCGCCTGGACGGCGCATCGGCAAGAAGACTGGCTGCGTGAAACACATGTGCATTAGAACGGGATGCGTGCACACGCGCCCCTGCAGTGCCTCGGAAGCGTACGCTGGAATTCTTTGCCCCAGCGAAGCGCGAGGGCACGCTACAGTGCGCAGGAGGAAGAACAGGAGGAGGAAGGGGAAAAAGGGGGGGCAGGGGGGAGGGGGTATGAAAAGCAATAATCTACAACAGCTGCATTCCATTGCCCCGGCGTTCCCCGCAATGGGGCTTGCAATCTGTCGTGGTCGTTTCCTGTCACAGCCAGGGCTTGAGCGTGCATGTAGGCGTTCCTCTGTAAACGCGGGCGTCCTCTGAGGCGCGGCGTGCCCGGTGGTCTTGCCCAGCTTGAAACACCATTGCTCTGGGAAGACTGCCGGGTGGTCCCCTTGCCCGCCTACCATAACAAAAGTTCAATTGGCGCTGTAGAAGAACAACTTGATAATGGGCATGCTCCCGCTGCCGCCCGCACATCAGCGTTGCTGACGCGAGACAGGAGCTGGCGCGCAACATTGGTGCCACAGCTCTAGAGGGGCGGTCCCGTTTGGGACCGACTACCTCTTTGGGGGCCCGCCACGCATCTACGCATTGCTCTTATGTCCTTCGCCCACTTGGGTATTGCCTCGTCTGATTCGTCGGAGTGACACCTTCCCGTGCCCACCCTCGCATCTCTCCAGTTCTCCGAACTGTCTGCTTCCACCTTCATGCCACCCTCGGGCCCGCTCGGCTCCCACGCATCAGGCCGATCACCCCGACATGGGGGCGCACAGCGTACTAGACGGCCGTCCCGTCGCCTCGTCCGCATCGAGTACACATTGTTCATTTCTAAGTATTCGGAAGTTCTTTCTTTTTTTGGGGACCAAGATCGTGTTAGTTGGAACTGTTCTATCCTGGGCCTCTTCCTGGCCACGAGGGGGCCAGGAACAATTAGAAACGAGCAGCGCGGCGAGCCAGTCTAATCTCATCCGCCGTTCGCCCCCGATGCCACACATCGACTGCTTCAGCGGTGAGTTGACTCAGCAGCCCTCGGGAAGCACGCCGTCGATCCAACAACAATTGGTGGGTCAAGTCATTTAACTCTTGGTCTATCTAAATAGCTTCCTCTGGTGAGGCCTGAAATTTACCACTCCGTGTCTGAACACACCGTTGCAATAACGAGCCACGTCATAAGCAATCTTCAGCGCAAACATGCCTCAACTCATGCGCTCGAGAACAGACACCCTTGACCTGCCTCCGCCAGCACGCCTCCCAGGGCCTCGAAGATTTCGTCGGGCGATGCTAGATCACGGTGCCACGTAAACGGCATATTATCGAGACAGACGTGTGCTCTCCTCCGCTAAGTGTTCAGCTCTCCCCTGTCACTCTCGCAGTGAAGTCATCATGCGATCCACGTCCCAATATTATCGCTGCGGCCCTTGGTAGTCTTGCCCACCGTCCTTCCGATTGCGCAAGAATGCGACAAGAGGTGAGGGGAGGCGCCGCGAATCGCCTGGAGCTTGGCTCCTAGGCGGCAGCGAGCCCTGCATGTCACCAGGGTCCCATGCATTGCCCGAGGCATAAACACGTAATCAATCACATAATTTCCTGCTGTTTCAAAAAAGTCGACTCGAACTCTCAAAAAAAGGTGTTGGCAGCGATAAAACCATGCGTCTCCATCATTGTTCGCACACGT